CGGGGGAATGGGTGGTGGTGTACGTTGTGGAGGGAGGGTTACATGAAAACGGCGTTTGAATAAAGCCGTTCCAAAGCTGCTCTTAGGCCAAAGTTTCTCGGCTAAGCCTCCCGACATACCAGATTGAGAAAGCCTATCTGAATTGATTTAGTCGCCCCCTTTTCATAGAATTATTTGGCTTATGAAGCGTTTGGTTTCAGACCCGCACCCAAGGTTCTTACAAATGAAGACAAATAAGAAAATTCTCTTTTTTTTTTTTCTTTATCATGAAGAATTCAACCTTAATTTCTCAAGTTAATCTCTAACACAGTCTGTTTTGATCTCCCCAGTCTTCATCCTCAACCATCTTAGTTCTGTCCTTCTTCGTTTTGCAGTAAATGGTTTGAACCCGGGGGTAACATGTGAAGGTGTAGTCTGATCGTCCGGGTGAGTGTAGTCCTGAGAAGGACTGTTGTCGGTGGTAGTGACTGACGTTTCGACAACCTGTGCGGAAGTCATCATCAGAGTCAAGAGTCATCATCAGAGTCACTTGACTCTGATGATGACTTCCGCACAGGTTGTCGAAACGTCAGTCACTACCACCGACAACAGTCCTTCTCAGGACTACACTCACCCGGACGATCAGACTACACCTTCACACCTTCTTCGATTGTTATCATCGTGCAACATATGTTTTGTGGTCCAAGTCGAAGGCCGTTTTCACGTCGGAAAAAAGCGTCACATTAGCACTGTTGATGCAAATTCGATTTCTGAATTAACATTCTTGAAAAGATTTATCAGTATCAGTTTTACGTTTTTTAACATTACCCCTTTTATCGATTTTTAGAAGTCTTGACGAGTACACTCAATCATGCTACTTTTTTCTCAATGATTATTAATTTTTTTTAAAAGATTGGTCCTAATTGTAAGGCCTGCCTTGTCATAACGGCCCAGATACACACTGTTGATTTTAAAATTTAACAGGTTTTAATTCAGACTCAAGTCCAAAAAATCATCCAACGGAACTAGAGACAAATTAACATTTTAATCAAAACCTGTCTCCGAAAGCTTATGAAGGCCCCTTTTGACATTTGTTTTTCTTCTGATAGCATCTGAAATAAATCTTTTCGAATCAAGTTAATTTCTGTTACAGCAAGACTCATACGACAATCAAATTTAAAAATTAACACAGTAATTTTAATGAAGCTGGACACACTTAATAAACTGAACGGATTTAGTTAGACAAACTGACAAAACCTATCGATACAAGTTTTTGCTTTTCTCAGTTCATGAAATTTGATGAGAGAGCTGAATATTTTTTTTTATCCTTTTTAGCGTTTAAATTTTCTCATCTTTTGCTTTGAAATGACATTTCGATATCGAAAATCAAGGATGTATCGAGCGCAACTTTTCACTGTGTAAATCCATTCGATAGAATTAAGTGTCATTTCGTGGGAAAACATCCCAAGATTGCAGTGAATTAAGAACAGTTGCTCCATTATCATAAATACAATCAAATTGATTCTGTATTCAAAATATAGCTCAAGATTTAATTAAGATCACTTGAAAGTCAGTGGAAGACAGTATCCAACGCCAGGAGGGGGGAGCGACAATCGATAGATAGTGGATTCTTTTTCAGTACGCATTTCCAACTTAAGGGTCACATGGAAATCGGATACTCTAGCCAATTGGTTTATTTTTGTTCCCATGAGTTTGAGATCACCTGCTATATTTTGGCGTTTGACCGTAAAAAGAAATACACGGTATCGTATTTTCGAGTTTTTCTTTTTTCAAAAGAACATTCCTCATGGTAACCAGAACTAGATTTGTAAAGCGATCGATATAATTTTTTTTTTTTAATGATATCAACCTTCCCTCGGCTTTGTTATGAACTTTACCGCCAAATTACAAGTGTCTTTTTTTTGTCCGGAAAAAGGAATCCAGTTTCAGAAAATCACCCAGGCATTGTATTAATGCTTTGAGGCATTTGCAGATCTTGACACTTCCTAATTGATGATTGTTTTTTTAAGGAAATTTTGGGAAAATCGGGTCCCAAAATACATCCAGCATTCTTTGATCTCGTTCTCTGTTGTCGGTTGAGCTATAGCCGAGTTTCTGACTTTTGCAATCGATTTTAGCGTATTAATATAGCTTAACACCCTTGAGGATACCAGGCCTGGAAACTTTTTGTCGCAAACCTTCGCCCCCCCCAGCAAACAGTAAGGCAAAATGTCTAACTCTGAAAAGGACAACTGCAAATGACGGCTTGCAAATAAAATTGTCTTCTTTTAATTAATTGGAAACCTGGTTGTGTGACAAGCGTCCGTATTGATTTCAAAACAAAAAGACAAAAAAAAAAATACAATGAAATCAACTTAAGAACGTGCTCTCTGTTGAACTAAAACATTCGCTCACGTGTGGGAATAGAAACACGCATCCTTCAAGTTGCCGACAGAAATCCACTTCTGCCACGAAGATGTATGAGCCTCCAGACAGCGAGAAAATTGTGCGAGATGCTTTCCTGGTCTGTTTGATATTTTTTATTTTAGTAGGAAACACACTCATCATAATAGCGTACAAGAAAACTCTCAGGCTTCAAACAAGCTCGAATGTCTTCATAGTAAGCTTAGCAGTATCGGACTGGCTCGTCGGCGCAATAGCCGTGCCTCTTTATCTTGTAACGCTGAGGGGAGGCTATTCCGCCAACCATTTGCTAACCGTGATGTTCATATCGTTGGATATCTTCAGCGGCACCGCGTCCGTTTTACATTTGATATCAGTGACGGTGGACAAGTACATCGCCATATCTAAACCTTTCTTGCACCACCGCCTTCCGCTGAAGTCGTACCATTTTACTTTGGGAGTTGTTTGGGTTTTGTCCGTGGTGCTCTCCTCTCTTTATCTCGCCTTAACCCCAGACATTAGCAGAAACTTTCCCCTGTACACTCTCTCGACTGTGTTCCTCTTAGCGCTGTTCGCCATTTCTCTTATAAACACTCTCATTTATAAGATCACCAAGTCCTTGATTCGCGGTACTGTGGAGTCGGTGGTGGAATCGAGCGCAAGTAGAGCCAACGAGCGGATGAAAATTCGACGCGAGGAAAAAACGGCATCGACGCTATTAGCGATCAGTGGTGTGTTCTTTATAACTTGGCTCCCCCACTTGGTGGGCGCATTTGTGTTTACGTACTGTTTCCCCTGCAATTTGGACCTCGTAGATATAGGGCGTATTGGAGCCTGCATCAAGTGCCTACAGTACAGTAACAGCGCCTTAAATCCTTTTGTGTACGCCTTCCGTGATGCCGAGATGAGAAGAGCCATCAGGATTCTGATAGGGTCCTGTCATAATCAGGGGCGACCTCGCGCAACACCGTCCATTGTCATATCTTTATCACTAACAAAACCAAGATCATTAGGGGTAAAAACTTAGTTATCTGGAATCCCCCACTGCTCGAGAGAATTAAAGAAAATGCTTGGTTTCCATACAAACAAGGATTAGGACTGATTCAATTGATGACAATTGTATCGATTGTTCGGGTCATTACTGAGTTTTTAGAGAGGTTTTGGAACAATGGGGGCGATTTTATGGAAACAAGGCTTAATGTAAAGAAAAGGCTTTAGTCAGTCAGCTGGAAGCTCCAATCTTTATGAAGCACAAACGCTTTGCTGGCCACTCTCTACCAAAGCGAACATCGTGGTAAAAAATGAAAAAGGAATGATAAAGAATGTCCTTCAAGCTGTAAAAAGGCTCATAAAAAAAAAAAAAACCACCAAGTCTTCTGTGGGTCTTACGTGTATGGGCTGTGACTGGACTCACTATCGAAGCACGAAGTAGCTCATAAATTCGCGCGGAACGCGTGCGTTCGTCATGAATTGAGCTCGGTTAAAGAGGTTTGATTATATCAGAGTTTTGACTTAAAAACTTGAGCGTAGGGTTTCAGTACTTAGCTGAATGGTTGTTTGAGATTCCGTTGGTCTCAAAGTCAAGACCACATATGTAAAGAAAACCTTTTTTTTACTACTAAAGGCTAAACTTTGTCAATTTTTACGCCTCACGGCTAAATGCTTTGGCCTTTTCAGAGCCACCCTCTTTTGCTAGATACAAAAAAACATTACGTAACGGACAGTACTATGATCAACTTTTTCATTCCTTTCTGTTTAAAGTGTATATAAACTGCTATGTAAATGTTGAAACGCAATGAATTACTAATTGATGCGAACAGATAGAGCTATTCATTATTTGAAAAATATTCGTAAGAATTTATAGTTTGCGTGTGCTTGCGCGTCAGTCATCATGTGTGAGTTTCGTATGTATTCTGAGAAGCAGAGCTGTGCGAGAGATCATACGTAAAATTCTATCTTTAGAATGTTGTTGACTTTGTGAGAGGTCTGCCATGGTTATGATCTATAATGCACATGTATATAAATGGAAAGTAAACGATACTTTGTCTTAATAAATGATGCCTCTTTGCGAAGGAACCCGCTTAACATCTTTGGAGAACAAATGATTCATTTTGATTTCTGTGAATGAGTACCTCAACAAAATTTCAGATTGTGCTTTAAGCGAATAATTCGCTTTGAAGCATGCATGCAATTACGAACAAAATGGCTGATATTTCTCAGCCCATTTCTCCCTATTCTTGAAGTCAAATTAAAGCGCTAATTGCATATTCAATTTATAGCTAATTTACTCATCTTCGTGTGTAATTTTTGAATATTTGCCCAACACGCATTACGTTAAATTTATTCTTCACAGCCACAGAATTCTTTCATTACGTGATTTGCTTGAATTCTTGATTTTAATTACGGCGTCTGTAGCTTCTTGACTCCTTTGTTGTTCTTGTTAACTGAGTTTCGAAAGCCCCACTCAAAATACTTAAAATTCAACGAGCCTTGAAAAGACACCTACCGCAATGGGTATCACGGCTCTGGGAACTAACTAGCTCTCTTGAAACGCAGAAAGATCCTGGGAACTAAGATAAGCAACGCCTGGTGAATTTTTGACACGAGGGACGAAAGAAAGAAAGTCTGTACTCAGCTGCACTAGAGTCGGTACTCGAGTACATTTAGAATTTTAGAATGAATCGCGGACGTGGTGGGTTTCGAAGACCGAATCGAGGGGGAGGACGTCACAATGTGAAGCCTCGCCCTGCAAATCGTACCGTTCTTTCGTCAGCATTAGAAGGACGAGAGGACTTAGAAGACGACAAAGACTGTGATGAACAATTCAATCTGAATGAGGCTGATGGTGGTGATGTGAGCAAACATCGCAATCCTTTGCTGGTCAAAGAGAGTCAAGTGATGCCGAAAAATAAACGGAGATCGAAGGCTCCGATTCAAAAACTTCAAATGAGCACCGAAAACCGAGAGATGATTGAAGAGGTTATGCGTGACCTGCAACTTTCTCGAAGCAACCACGGGGACCACGAGGGTCTGGTTTCCAGTGCCAAACAGGTGAGGATCAATGAGGCTTACTGGAAGAAAGTTGGGGATCAAAAACTCGTGATTGAGGGTGGTGTCAACAATGCTGCAGATCGCGACGGCGAATTACAAATTGACGAAGAAATTTATAGTTCTTATGCGGTGAAAAAATTGCACCAGTGCGGCTTTGAAAAAATCAGATGTATTGAAGCTCTTAAGGAGAGCGAAGGTGATCTAGGAGCAGCTCTGGAGTCGTTAATTTGCAGTTGTTGTGGACTAAGTTGTCTTGGAAAGACAAATCCAGATTATAGCGAAGAAAAGTTCCAAGAAGCGTCTTCTCAAAGACAAGAAGAAGCAATGGCTCTTGAATCAATTTACGATGATGCCTTTACAGAGGTTATTGCAGACACTGTGTGGACAATAAAATTATCGTTGCCCTTTCTACTTGATAAATTTAAACATGAGAGCAGAAAGGAAAATGTGCTAAAAAGTAAGGCAGGCAGGAAGGCAGAGACTTTGGATAATATTTGTAGATTTTTTTTACAAGGTTATTGCAAATTTGGCGATAAATGCAGACTTAAACATATTGTGTATGAGCAAGGAACAAGCTCAAAAGAAGCGAGAAATGAATTGGAGAGGAAGGAGAAAAGTTCTGAGTGTGAAGATCTGTCATTTCCATTTCATCTGGAAGTGAGATTTTGCAAGGGATCTCTTTACCCTTTTGAACCTCCAATGGTTGTATTTTACTCCACACATGAATCGATTCCATCTTCAGGCTGTCTCAATGTCACATTAAGGTTGAACAGAGAAGCCAAGGAGTTATGTGATGCTGAGAGCCCAATGGTGTTTTGCCTTGCCAGTCTTCTAGAGAATGAGGATGAAATCCTTGCTTGCTTTAACATGCCACTTTCTGAGTATAGTTTGCCTATAAAGAAAAGTATTTCCACTCATTCTGCCGGTGAACATCACAGAGATGTTCCCCCAAGGAGAAAAGTGGCTGATAAGAAATCAGAAACAACACAACCAAAGACATCCTCAGACAAGGTCAGCATCCATCAAAAAAGTAGGAAACTAAAAGAACAGTTTCAGCGATTGCAGGTAATGTCAAACTTTTCTCAAATTAGGAGAATGTTTCTATTAGCCTTATGTAACTAACTCTTTAACTCCCAGAAGTGATTAACATGTAACTTCTCCCCATAATATCTTTACATTATCATACAAACAGGTAATGAGAATGCTCAAACTTATCATGTGGGAATTGTTTCCTTGATTGAACACCAAATTCTTGTAATCTATTTACAATGAAATATGTTGCAACTTGAAGGGAGAATTAACAACCAGATCTTGGGAGTTTAAGGGAGTAAATCCCTGGTAATTCTAGTTGATATACCCCACATGTAAATGTATACTTTCGGGTCAAAGATGACAACATGATGACATTGGAGCTCTAGATAATAGCTAGGCAAGTACTTTAGATTGCTAAAAATCCCTAAGGAATTTGAAATAACCTATTGTGAGAGAATCCACCAGAAATTTTGGATGAATCAGCTCCTCAAACATCCAATCTCTCACCCTCTTGCCCAGTCCCCATCTTTTGGTCACTGTAAATTTCTTTACCCACCCAACTAGATACTGTAAGTGGACTGCTACATTCATTTGATGAGTTGTAAGGTGCATCCACATGCACTGATAATTGCAAGGGCATAGCCAGGGGGGGTCCTGGGGTGCCCGTGACCCCCCCTTGGTAGGTCTTCTTTAGAACAAACAACCTACAATATCCAGGTGGCGAAAACGCCATATCAATATCTTGGCCGTAAAAGCCATTGATATGGGCCTTCATGCCGCGATAATACGACTGAGCCCACTGATACACGCGGGAGAGCAGCAGTGTAAATGGTGAGTAGCCTCTGTGACCCCTCCCTCTGAAAAATCCTGGCTACGCCCCTGAATTGTATCATACAAGTCTAAGTTAACATTTTTAATCCCTTTATTTATTTTTATCTGAAGTCAGTTGCAGCTTATCAGTCAATGCTGAAGGAAAGGAGCAAACTTCCTGCATGGCAGTCACAACAGAACATTATAGAAAAACTCCAGGAGCATCAGGTTCTTGTTATCAGTGGAATGACAGGGTAATAACCATATTGTATCAACTAGACCTCAAGGACCCTAATTTGCGAAAAAAGGTGAAGTCTGTACTTGAGCTAAGTGGCTTAGCCAGCCAGAGATTATCCTGGTCTCTGCAGCATGAAGCATCTAAAGGTATTGCTACCCACCCCCTGATGAAATGCTAGTCCCCTCCTGATGGGATGCTAGTCCCCCCACGATGGGATATAAGTCCATCACAGGTTTTCCATGGCGATTTTATCAGCTTTCCCTGACTGTTAGCCTTTACCTGTTTCTACTCCTCCCGGTTAGCTCAATGGATAGAGTGCTTCTGGGGTGCATCCAGGGGTGGTTTGGGTGGTTTGGTTGAACCCCCTAAATTTTCCTCAGAACACTGGAAATCATATGTTTCTGAAGACCTAATTTTCAAAATCTTGGACCCCTCAGAAGGGGAACAATTCTCCAAACCCCCCTCTGAACCTGGATCCGCCCCAGTGCTGGACTGTTGTGCAGGAGGTTGAGGGTTCAAGCCCCGGCCAGACCAACACTCAGGGTCTTAAGATAATTGAGAAGAATTTGCTGCCTTTCTATAACATCAAGAAATGGTTAGATATTCTAGTCTTCTCGGATAGGGACGAATAAATGTAGGTCCCGTCTCCTGCAGGGTTGGGGTAGGAGATGTTAATTTCCCACACACGAGATTACTGTGTGATGGATGTCCTCCCTAGGGTGGGATGGGTGGGTTTATTGGGCCCAGAGTAATTGGCGTAAGCTGTTGCGGTGTCCCTGCCAGTTGGCGAAACTATTAAATTAAATTAAATTAAATTACTCCTGGGTGGAAGGAGGTATTGTGAAAATAAAGTGAATACTAGTCTCCTCCCCTGATGTAATGCTGGTCCATGGCAGGTTACCTGCAGACATTTCATCAACCTTCTTTGGCAGTTAACTTGTAGCCATTTCTACTCCTGTGTAGGGGCGGTGGCCTCATGGTTGGTGCGATTGACTCCACATCGAGTGGTCCTGGTTCGAGCCCCGGCCAGGGACATTGTACTGTGTTCTTAGGCAAGACACTTTACTCTCACAGTGCCTCTCTCCACACATGTGTTTAAATGGGTACTGGTAATTTAATGCTGGGGGTAACCCTGGAATGGACTAGCATCCGATCCAAGGGGGAGTAGAAATACTCCTAGTCGCTTCATGCTACAGAAACCGGAGTTGAGCAGTGGCCAAATGGGCCACTAGGCTCCTAAACAGACTTTACCTTTACCATTTCTAGTCCTGGGTGGAGAAAGACACCGTGAGAGTTAAGTGTCTTGTCAAAGAACATAACACAGTGAAAGGGCAATATCTTGCACCCAGACCCCCTCTCCTGGAGTGGTAACTGTCAAGCTGCTACACAGCCACTCTAAGCTGCATGGCAATTTGTTAAATTTTTGGCAACTGAAGTTGCAGACTCAGGAAGTTGCATGGTAATGCATCAAGCAGTAAAATCCAAAGGTGCTCCATCTTGAGGGGGACTCACATTTTTTTTCTATATCAGAAGTTTGTGACAAAAGGAAGAACATCTTTCTCTATTATCTGTATTTTGATATTTGGATTGATAAAGTTTTACTGGATTTAGGTTTCAGACTTCAAACTCATCATCTCATTGTTTTTTTGTTTTTTTTTAAGTTGTGGGAAGACGACTCAGATTCCTCAGTTCATCCTGGACAGCCATCTCGCCGCAGGACGTGGAGGTGAATGCTTCATTATCTGTACACAGCCTCGTCGCATCTCGGCCATGTCTGTTGCAGAAAGAGTGTCCAGTGAGAGAGTAGACAAGATTGGACAGTCAGTTGGTTATCAAGTCAGGCTGGAAAATAAACAGGTAAAGACATGTGTGTACTAAACCGCCTTTACAATTTAACTTGGATGTACAGATATGAATTATTTATAAGATCAAGATAACAACTTCTTACCTGATAGGTTTAAAATAAAATATTTTCATTTACCTTCTGCTGGGTA